CGGTTCGAAAGCACTTTCCTCGTTCTGATCGTAACAACGTCGCCCTGAAATCCGACAACAAATAAGTTTGAAAAAAATGCATAAATCACAAAAAGAACTCACCATGGTTTCGAAGCTCGTATACGAAAGCCTGAAAACATAGACTTAGAATGCTTATACAACAAAAATACGGCCGTATTCATTGCTTGCGATTTTGGAGTAGACGTATCACGCGGTCTTATGATCGTCGTATTAATGTGTATCCACCACAATCTAACAAAAATCGAACTCCAAGGGCGCACGCATAGTCGGTCGTCCGACAGCAACGATCGCAACTGTCTGACTGTCTAACTGCATCTAATCGTCGAATACTCAGGCAAGTCCGACGATCGATACGCATCCAATGCTGTGCGACAGTTACGATCGTTGCTGTCGTCCGACCGACTATGCGTCCGGCCCAAGGCACTCGCAAGGCATAACCGCGGACTAAGGACAGGTTTGAACAGAAAATATTCAGAAGAAGACTATCACTCAGTTGAAAATGATAGCTGTAGCTCAGTCAATGCAACGAAAGTTAACAATAGCTTGCAATGCAATGGCTAAGACGATCACCTAATTGATTTAACTCCTGCCTGTTGCGGAGCACTAAACCAATCACTAATCCAAGCACATTTGCAGTGAGGCAAACAACTCAGTTTTTGCTGCTAACAGTTGTACAATATCATGTTTTCCTAGGATAGAGAAAGCATCTATCATCTTACTAGCCCCTGGCCGCTGAAATCATGCAAAAACGTCCCCAAAAGATGCCTATCGTAGCAAACATTCTGCACAGAGCACTACAGTTGAGGTCTACAAAACCATGATGGGACTGCAGTGGGGTCTATTCCAGTTAGGGGGCATCATGATGCGGTGACTCCCAAAAAGCTACGGTAACTCCGAGCCAGGGGGAGTGTAGCCAGTCTAGGGGGTGGGGTGAGGGCAGTCACTTGACATGCGTGAAAAGCTGGAATGTTCGAGTTCACACTAGTTCGCCGAGAAACTGCATCATGATGCCCCCCTAACTGGAATAGACCCCTGCAGTGATTATGAGAACATCAACTACTGCTCAATTTCATACAATGTCTTACCGAATGCGGAGAATTTTTTAGAGAGTTTAGACGCTGGCATTACAACTTCATTGATCCCAAGCGACAGCATAAATAAATTTAACTGAATTTTGAGCAGAATAAGACCTACACCTCCGTAGAAAAAAAACATAAAAACCGGTCCGAATCCAACGACTATTATAATCCACATTGCCGGTAATTAAAACCAAATATAAACAATAAAACAAACAAAATTCGATAGGAATTAAAATACAGGAACGTAATGGTAGCCAGCGTCGAATCGGCAGCCTACGTCTCGCATGGAAAACTACGCAGCGAATTGGTGACCTTTAGCGGAGGCGGGGCAGACTTTCCGTTGGAAGGCTTCTGTCAAAGGGGTGAGAATGTAGAAGGAAAAGCAGGCTTTCTATGCAGTACTAAGACTTCTACAGAAAAGATTCTGTCTTAGCCGTATGTGTGGTGGCTCTAATAAGCGAAACATAACACTGGATTCCTAGTCTCATGGCTGATGTCCGTAGACCAGACTTTCCAAAGGTGTTCCTGATTGATTAAGGTTAGGAATAGTTCACAGATAAGGGAAGAGTGGGAAGGAAATTAATCCCGAAAACGTGATGGGAAGCGAGAAGTTGAATCGGCGGAAATGGTCAGAAGCTAACCAGGAAGGTCTTTCAGGGCGTGACAAGCTTTTTGAAAACGGTCTTTTGCATGATATAGGGGCAGATGCGGGAACCACAGAACCATGTTTAATTTTTCCTGAACGGCCCTCTGAATACCAGAAAAGGGGGTCCCTAGTTCGATTTCCTCTTGGTGACAAATTTTTGCATTTCGAGTTGACGTTCCAAAATTCGCGCAAAATGGAGTTCTGATTGTTCTGGTTGGTTCTAACTCCATTTTGCGCGAATTTTGGAACGTCAACTCGAAATGCAAAAATTTGTCACCACGAGGAATCGAACTAGGGACCCCTTTTCTGGTATTCAGAGGGCCGTTCAGGAAAAATTAACCATGGTTCTGTGGTTCCCGCATGTGCCCCTATATCATGCAAAAGACCGTTTTCAAAAAGCTTGTCACGCCCTGAAAGACCTTCCTGGTAAGGCTGGTGTCAGAGTCGGCCGATTTGCGCGAAACACGCGACGGATCGCAAAAATTGCAAGTGCCCCATTTGAACATTTGAAACACTGAATATGAAACAAGTGGAATCATGAGCAGTCGTCATTCAGCCATCACTATCAAGCAGAAGTGGCGGCAGGATTGGAGAACACCTTGCAGTATTGATCGGGCATTTCCGTGACCCGTCGCGTGAATCGCGCAAATCGCGAAAATCGCGTGAATCGCGCAAATCGCGAAAATCAGCGAAACCTGCGACGGATCGCGGACTCTGACACCAGCCTAGCCGGTCAGAGAATGGAGGATGGACTAGGAAGCGAGCAAACCAGCCCTTTTGGCGTTTCTGCTGGGGCCGTATGCTGAATGTTGGGGAGGGGATGGGGTCCCCGACGGTGGACGGACTACTTCAACTCGGTCCTTAAACCGC